TATCACATGAGGTTTAAATATAGCCGAAATATCAAAGTGTGACATGGCTTTTTATATAAATGAAACTGTATTGATTATATATTATTATTTTATCATTTCCCATTTACATTATTCTTGAATCTCTAAGGATTTCTCTAAGGAATTTCTCTCGCAAAGTTTTGTTTCTAGTTGTCCTGAATATATTTGATTCAGACGCTGATATCTTGAAATATAAAAAGAAATCTAAATGAAAGCGGAAGTCGCTCTTAAAACGAAAGATTTTGAGATATGAAAACTTGTGCTATTTATATTTTGTGTGTATATATATATATATATATAAATATATATACACATATATATATTGAGCTCCATTTTAAATCTAAAAATTCCCTAACGTTTTTAAACTGCGAAGCTATTTTAAATCTATATATTATGAGCTAATAAATGTAGCAATATATAGCGATATTAGTCAATAGATATTCTATTTCCAAAATCTGATATAGAGTTTTCTACTTAATTTATCGTAAAATTATTTAATAAAAACATCAAAGCCTAAGAGATGCTTAGACATTGTGGATCAATGAACGTAACGATTTAAAAGCAGGTTGCAGCATGGACACGTGCACATTTACATCAAACACTTAGGTATATATTGTAATAACATCAAATGGTGGTGAAATTAAAAGATGGTGAATTTAATCGTATCGTGAAATCTCCTCGCAAATCATTTCTAATGCGGAAATCACATCTAAGTACGCGCAAAACGATTTGGCAGTCGATCGTCGAACGTTTAAACTTTTATTAATAGAATTTACCTCACCTATTCGATGGTCAAATCGGTGCACCTGTACCGTGTTTGTCGTGCCAGCTATTTGCTCGTCAGAAAACCAAGCAGCGCGCGAACGAACGCATAGTTAAAGCAGGACGCTTCCCCATTTTTCACTGGGAAATAACTTACTTTTGCAAAAGCTTGCACCGATATATCGTAGCAGCTCAGTCGAGCGCTGCGTGATATTTTTATCAAAAGCACGTGGAAAATAACGGTCCCGCAGCGACCCGCAGCACGTTCTTGTCAGCTGACATTACCTTGTAGTAATCAATGGTGTACTGCAATCGACACCTATTTTCAATCCGATTATATATCGCACAAATAACGATATACGTTTATCAAAGCTACGTGTGTGTGCAGTAAAATATTTCATACATTTCTATAATTGGACCACGGAAAATCATGTTACAGTTAATAAATGACATTTTACTTGCAAATTATATTTTTAAAATTTTTTCGGATAACATTTATCATGATAAATGACATCAAAAGTCTTTATTATCGTTAATATCAGAAAATATCTAGAATAATTTTTCAAAGTTGGTGTTTATTTAAAATATTTTATTATTTGAAACATATAAAAAAAGTCCTCTTGTATTATTCTATATTTAATTATAATTCAATATCACACATGTCATTTATTACGTATCACGTGCTATATGAGTTGTTGGACTTTCATCCAAATCGTATCATTGCAGCATTGCTGCCATCGATAAAAATAGTTAATGATGCCTAGAGAGAAATACTGCTGTCGACTCTAACGTTCGACTATCATTCAACTATCGTTCGAATATGATACGAAATTCTTCCGGATTTAACGAAGTTGGAACGGAAATCGGATTGTCTCTACGAGCTCTCTGACGCTGTCCAATTTTCTCTCCGTTTCTCTCTTCTCTCTCTCTCTCTTCCCCTCCCCCTCTCTCTCTACACGATCGATTCTCCCTCTTTCATTCATTCGTACGTACAAGTGCATGCGCCACAAGTAGCACACATGTCGGACTAAACTTCGCGCTAACAAAGGTATGAGACAAAGGGAAGGAACGGACAGACGAACGGACGGGATATCAATGTTCTGAGTCGCTGAACAGGACGTGCGTTGTTCTCCTAGCGGTTGACAGCCGCACGTTGACATCGACGTATACACGTGCACATGTGCATGCGGATACGGGGCATATGTTATCAAGTAGGAACTTTAAACGTGTGTACTGCGATTTATAACAGATGACTGTGAACTTTTTGGCAGGATCGATTCGACAATCTAAATTTATTTCTTAAAGATTGAGGGTACAATGATGAGGGTACAAAAGTAATTCTTATTGATATTTATTAAGTTTTCAATAAAACAAGTTTAATATGAAACGTATTTATTGTTGAGAAACCTGCAAAAAATATTAAGCTCTTTTTAAGGATTGAGAGAGAGAGAGAGAGAGAGAGAAAGAGAGAAAGAGAAATGGATTTTTTAAATATATTTACAATTGTGTTACTAATAATTGAACTTAATGTTAGACTTAATAAAAAAACATCAGTACTACGCAAAACCAATAACACGAAAATGGAAAATTTCTATGACAATTTTAATTCAGTGTGCAATTATACACATGGATAGAAATAAAATAATACAATATTAAGAATTTAATTAAACACAAAAACAATGAGATAAATTAAAATGACTTTAACATAGAAACAGCAATCAGAAAATTTCAGAATATTCCGCTTCAATCAACACAAATTTCGTCAGACGCGAGACTTGGATTTGAGTCATCTCGTATATATAATACAAAACTGATGTATGAATCACCTTACAGATAAAATGGATTCATGAATCATCTAAGGTCTATGAACTTTCGAATATTTCCTGAAATTTTCGTATTAGATCTGTGCTTCTTTATATTCTTAAATCTTTTATTTTATAAAAATGTAATGCTTGCAAAATCTAATAAAACTAGTTTCAATAAAAATAAATAACTTTTTGTACTATATTTTATGTACACATGTGCTTTCATTTATCGTTCTCCTTATCTTTTTCATATTTTTAATTTTTTAATTGTTTAAATCTAATTTCTAAGAGAAAAAGTAGCATTTTATTTAATATAAATCAATGTCTTATGTATATGTGTTCATGTTTAATGCATAGAAAACAACCGCTATACACAGGGGTGTGCAACTTTTGCTTTGTTAGTTAGTTCAATCTGACGTGCAATTACTAATGGAAAGCAAATGCATTAACATGAAGCGTGTTCATTAACCAAAGTTTACTTTTGCTTAAGGATTATTTACAAATTCGAATACATATCGATTTAATTTTCATGTTAAATCACATTTATCAATAATGGCATCAAGAATGACCTTATGAATCCATTAAGGCTATCACACGTACAAAAGTTTTAATCGTAATCATAAGGCTGTAAGTAAATTGGCCAATCACAGTCGAGCGTTTTAAAACACGAGATCGTAATTTTGATTGTGATTGGTCGATTTGCTTGCGACCTTACGATTACGACTAAAATTTTTGTACGTGTGATAGCTTTTACTCAAATGACGCCATTCATTTCCACGCAAATGTACGAACTATAAACTACTTAGGAACAGTTGATACTTTGTATAAGTTCGGAACTTTGCTTTGCGTTCGTTACATTAAACTTCTAAACGCATTTAATTATCAAGACACAGTTGTGATAGATTTAATTTTTCAGAGAAGCTAGTTTCCAGAAAATATAAAAATGTGATCAATAGATTCTTTCTATTTTTTTATTAAATAGCAAATAATTTTTACTAATAAAAATATTAAATTATTAAATTATTTATTGTGTCGATATTAGGCTTACGAGATATATAAATTTAAATATTTCAAGATAGATTTTAATGAAAAGAATCGTAAATGTTAATCTATTTTTAACAATAGACATGAATCATATGCTTTCTAGTAATATGTTTTATAAATACTCTGCAAATAATATATGCATAATTGTATAATAATAATAATATAAACAATACAAATTGTAGTTTTTTAAATTCTTATTTGTTTTTTATCTCGTTTAAATAATTTTTATCGGTTAAATAATTTGTAAAAGGCATATCCAATAATATATAAGCAGAGTTATGTATTACGTGTAGTTGTTATCCTTTCAAAAATCATGAAATCTATTTCATATTTCACGAGAATTGCGTTATTAACTGTGAGATGAAATTCTCTGTTGAGAATTTCGACCATTCCACCTATGCTCATTTCTTCCATCAATCCCCAGCACATATTAGAATGATGCCCACGTAGAGTGTGGTATTAGCGAGATTAACCGGGGTCAACGCGCTGTAAAGGGCGCGTTGGTGTTTAGAATATATAATGTGTTTTGAACACCGGAAACCACGTGAATATGAAAAGGTACATGTATTCGATCAATACATAAACGAACTGAATATTAACATAAATATTAAAATAAAAGAGGACGACGAAATATAGAGAGGAACACAATGAGTCAAAATTTATATAAAAAAAAAAGAAGTTGATGATTTATAATAGCTGTCTTTGATAACAATAAAATACAGGATGTTCCATTTTAAATAATGTCTTAAGATTTTTCAAAAACCATGGTAGATATGGAAAAATGTTTCGAACAAAAGTTGTATGGTTCGGACATAAGAAGATACCATTAATTTGACTTTGGACCTCGCCACCCGAGGTCAAATCAATGGTACCTTCTTATGTCCTCCTCCGAACCATACGAACTTTTGTTTAAAACATTTTTCCGTATCTACCATAGTTTTCGAGAAATCTTAATGCGTTATTTAAAATGAGACACCCTGTATATTTGAAAAAATTGTTGCTGTCGTTTATTTGTTACCGGGTCTTTATTTTATTTATTTTACGGCTTTCAAAAGAATAACGATTATATAACACATACATCGTACATAACATCGTTTTTATATTATATATATTACTAAAATATGCCTTTTGTAAACATAATCGACACAAGAAACAATTAAGAACAAATAGTTATTATTAGATTATACAATTATATATTATTTTACTTCTTTTATTAACAATTATTAACTAATTTTTATGCAAATCTTTGTATTAAATTATTACATGATTATTTGGAGCTCTACTTTTTCTCTATGTGTAAATAAAAATTTAATTGCAACTGCATATTTTTTTATCTATATAATGTTTTCACGATTGCTTTATGTTTGACAGGTGTTGTCAACAGAGGAGATTCTTTTAGGAGAAGAAGATCGAGATCGAATTCTTTGGTGCCTGCCGATCAGCAAAATGAGGAACGGCGACTGCCGCCCAAGGAAGTAGCTTCGCACAACGTTGCTATGTTAGGTACAAGAGGAGTTGGAAAAACCGCCCTAATCAGTCAATTTATGACCAGCGAGTGTATAAACGCCTACGATAGACAGAGAGGTGAGTCTTCTACAACTATGACATTATAGTATAAGACATTATAATATAATTTTACAATAAGGTATATTGTAAAAATCATGGAGAAAACGCGATTTTAAGTCTAAGAGAGGAGCAACTTTACTATTGTTATTATTCTTTTACTGTTAGAATTAAATAAACTTTATTTTGATATGAGTATCTAAATGTTTGTTGCTAGAAAGTTTAAAATTAAGCATTAAAAAGATATAAAAGAAATATTATTAAAAAATATGAAAAGAAATATTTTATATTCTTTTTTAACAAAATCTTTGATAAGGAAAAGTTGAGGTGCAAATGAAAAAAGTTATATAAACATATAGCGTATTCAGTAATGAGTTTACGTAATAGTCAGATTTCTGACAAATACGTATGAGCTTTTAATGAGTAAAAGTATACAATATAGTAAGAAATTTATAAACGTAAATTCGTTTGGGAAGTTAAAACTTCTTGATAGAATGTTTTATTGTTATGTCATATAAACGTGAATCAACGTAGAAACGATTGTAGAAAGGAAATTGTTGGACATTTCTTAATTGATTCTGTAGCAAATAATCTTTACGGCGACTTTCAACAGTTTACATTTCGATCGTCCCGTTATATCGCGTGAGTTTACACGACGGTCTCTAGTGTGTATTTCGATTGCACACTCGGTGAAAGACGGCGTCAAATTCTGCCTGAGCAGCGCATAGTTTCCGGGGCTTTCTAAATTCTATAAGCTCTTTTGGATACGCGCAATTCTTTTTGAATGAATTGATTACAGTTGAGCGACGCTTAAGTCGATATCTCGGAACAAGATCAAATAAAATAACATTAACCTACTGCTTGACAGAAAAAAGAATGAATATATCCCATGTCTGATTATATTATATAATACCTTTTCTCCTTGTGTTTCCATTTCATATAATAACTTTGATTTTTTCATCCACGATTATAAAATATAGAAACTATAATGAAATATAATGAATATAAATCAGTTATTATTTTAATATTAACATAATATTTAAAATTAAATATGGGACAGAAGGAATGACAGAAAAAATGGGAATATACATATACAAAGTAATAAAAAAGAAAATATGACGTATTTGAATAAAACATGTTTGTCCTTTATCATTAAATAAAATAATATTCATTATTGTATTATTTAAAAATTAAATTATTATGGCATGTAAAATGAATACAATTTGGATGTAAATAGATAAAAAACAATATAATTAAACTTTTTAATAGCATATATAAGTTTGCAGTAATGTAATTTGCTGTAAATTGCATCGATGTCAATGATAATTTCTAGAATATCTTAAATCTAATATATACGGGGCGCTATTGAATTGCTTGGTAAATACTTTAGAACCAAATTCTTTGTACAAATTAATATAAATATTTCCTCAGTAAATATTTCATTGCTCTGCTTCATTTTTCGCATTCTTTTTAATATCAGATAGTTTAATATCTCTAACTCAGCCGTAAAATAAAATTCCAAAAATTAAAATAACATTAATTCAGATTTTATCTGGAATTAAATAGAAAGTTTCGATTTTATTGTCTGTATTTTCTTTATAAAAAAATTTTATTATTAATCACTTCGTATATCTTCATTGTTTTTATAAAACTTTGGATCTTCCATCACGTAAAAACTTTGAAGCGTGCGTATCGTTTTATAAAAACGTCACATCATCTGATATTGATTATTGAAGTGATATCTCGTGTAGTATAAAATTCGTATAAATATCTGGATTGACGATAGAGTATAATACCGACTCGATAACAATGTGAATGATCATTATTCTGCCAACTATCTGTTCTTATGACGCTCACTTGTTAAAATTGATACGAGATAACTTTCTTATTGTTCACATGTTATTGATTTTAATTATTATATCTGTTTATTAATTTTACTAATACAATGTGATTATATTCTTGACCTTTGTTGAATAACAATTGATCAAAGAAACAAACTTTGCTTATTAAACTGTAACTATATATTATCTCTTATATCATGTCTTACATCAAATAATTGAAATAGGTGTATTTGGGTAATGTTACTCAAATCAACTTTTATGTTCATCTTTTTTACGAAAAATGTTTGCTTGTTGCAAATTCTGTTTAATATTTGCTTTACAATTCGTAATTAATTATGCAAAATTTCTCGAGCTGATATCCTCTCGCAGCATCTGCTTCTCATTGAAAAACTTCATCGCGACTCTTTCATTGGTGTTAAAGTGTGATAAGCGAGACGGGTGAAGCTTTGTTCCAGTTGGACACATTCAATCCTCGTTCGGCGACGTCACCCGGTGCTATTACGATCGATATTCGTGCGAGCCATCAAACAATGGGATATGCTCGCGCGGTAGAAAAAAAATCCGCGCCCTCTATTCTCTCTCTTCCTTCCTTCTCTCTCTCTTTCTCTCTCGTGCTTTTTTTATACCCCAATATAATGGAATTTTCTATTTATGTCTAGTGCGCGCAGGCAAGTGGTTTTCGCGGAGATAGTGGTTTCAAAACGATAGCGTGATGAGCCCTGATGTAACTCTCGCAACACTTCCTGCGAGAAACTTTTTACATATTGTAGTCAAACGTATGATGTTAGAATATAAAACACGCGGCGAAAATACTCTATTATACGACGGTAATATAACTTTACTTTATCGTTGGGGAAAAAATGGAATTTTTAATTTGAGTTGATTAAATTGTACGATGTTCTGTTTGCGAATTAACGAAACGTAAAAATGGACAATATTTCTCCTCGTCGTGAAGAGTAAGTCTTGGAACAAGACACAGTGATCCGCGCTAAATGCTAAGGAACTAAGAATAAATGTTGATTCTACTGGCGTGTCCCAATTTAAATGTTAACAATTTTAATCGTTTCTTTGCATATTTCCTCTTGTAACGCGGTGATTCTTCCTACTGCATTATACTTTTTCTGATTTTTTGCAGTCACGATTGATGTCGATTAGAAACATCTAAGATTTATTTACTTTGCAATCTTTTTTTTTATGTAAACTATAAGCAAGACTTATCTAAGAGAAAAAGATAAATAAAATGTGTACAATTTGATCTCAATATTCGCAAATAATCACTGTAAAATTACAAGCGCAACAATATGAATAAGTTATGATTTTAACCCTAACTGATATTCGCTCTGAAATTTCTTTAATTGATATTAACGGATCACTAGTGCTTTAAATTAATGTATCTTTGCTTAAAATTAAATAATTGAACAATTTTATTTATTTTAAGGATCAAAATGCAAGGCATAAAATAATGTAATTTAAAATTATGTAAGGTTGTGAAAAATATTTGTTATAAACAATTTTTCACAACGTTAATTGAAAAAATCTATTGGATGGGTGAATACTAATTAGTAGATAGAAGAAAGATAAATAAAACGAAGGCAAATCGATAGATTGGCTTTTGGCTGTGTCTCTCGTAAGCGTCTCTTCAACTCTTAATTTTTCTCTCTTAGAAGTTCCTTCTTTAGAATAATTATTCAGTTTTTCAGATATACACAATTTCTCTCGCAATCAGTGGAAGAAAGAACTTTTTTCTTAAAATAAAACATGTTTCAAGAAAAACAATTTACCTTCAATCCATTATTAATTATACGTACGGAAATGCATTTTATTAATATTCTCCAGTTGATTACCATTATTATTAACGCTTCCGTAATTTAATTAATAATTTAATCATGGCGCTCGCACACAATTATTTCCTCTATGTGATGGTGTACATTTATCGAATTCTGTTATAGTTAGCATGTCGATGAATCTGTTCTCGCTTATCACCGTATACATATGTATAACTTGACCACCGTCAATCGTCGATGTTGTGATATAAATTATTCTATGATTGATATAAATTATTCTACGATGAGAATATGATTTATAATAAGAGAACATATGTTGTGTTCCTGCATTTTTAAGTACATTTGCAAATACATTTTAAACTAGAATTATAATTGTGTTTAGAGTGATAAACCGTACCTGCATATATGAATTACGTTCACATTATAGCTCAGATACATAATGGTATTATAACTTATTATGCCCATCAACTACGTAGTACGGTTGTATGTGATATTTTGTAATTTATCTCACAATCTAAGACATATTACTATTTATTACATTATCTCTGTTTTTTAATGAGATATCTAAGATTTATAAAAGCATTTATTTTAATTATGTATTAATTGATGAACGTCATTATAGGAACTAAAATAATCCATACTGATTATATTAAGACATCTAGTTAGTAGATTATATTAAGACGTTGTTATATTGATATATCAATATTGTATATTATGAATTACATCTTAATTTGAATTACTATTTATAGTTTTGCAATTGTACTACTATATACCTATAAATTATAGTTTTCAAAATTAGTAGCTAATACTTTGTGAACCACTCTTGACAATTTTTATTATTGTTTCAAGAAAATTCTTTTATTTATAATCCAGTTGTTTTGTAAACATTATTTATAATGTTTTCCCACATCATATGTTTACTTTTGTAAACACTGTAGAAGTTTGAGTAAAAAGAAATGATTTGCGAAAATGAGTTTAAGCAAAATGGAGCGGAAATCAGTTTCACGATCAATTACGCAAAAAGCTCTGTGGCAAACCTTGTGCGGAAGATTCATCATGACGAAAAGGTCACTTAATCGTTATGCGATATGAATAATGATTGCCATAATTATGTTCAGACCATTTGATAGGCAAATGGAAAAGGATATTATACCTTTGAAACAAATTTTTCAAACTTTAGCAAAGAAATGAAATTGATATTCAAATATCGTTAAAGTGATTAAAAAATTTACGGTCTTTCTCTTAAAACATGATACAAATTTAAGAATGTAAAAAATATTGAGTTACGAAGATTTAATTATTTGAATTATGAAAATAAATTTTTTAATTTGTGTTTAAATAATTGTGCTTTATATGTAAAATCGTATTTTTCAGTGAATTTATTTATCATTTTAGA